CTTAGTCTTACTCTTCTGACTATAGCACTAGTATAATGTTAACACATAAACCTGAGTATTAACCTCCACATCTTAGTACTAGCTTAGAAAATAAGGGTGTGACACAGTCACAATATTTTCATCATCTTTGATCAAAAAAAGTGAAAAAAGATTTTGAAACTTTTTATCATAGTTTTGTATGAAAGATTGTAAAATGATCGAAGAAATAATTATTAATATTTCATGCAATCTCCCTGCAATCTTTTCATCATCTTTCGCAACAAAAATGTTAAAAATATTCTAAATACTTTTATCACAAATTGACAGTAAAGATGCTTAAAAGATTTGAACTTTTTTTTAATATTTTTATCCTCTTTTACCCTAAATTATTGATTGCTTCACCTAGTGTCCAGACTATTAAACATTGCAACCAAGACATCCTCTATGATGGAAATTTTCATGTAACTGATTATACTTACGGTGTGATCTTGGCTGGTTGAAATGATTGTCATCATCATCATGAGTCATGTGAGAGGTGGACACTACAGGTGCAATGAAAACTCACAAGGCTTGATTGACTGATATCAGAAACATCATCATTCTCCACTCTGAGTATCCCTTCCTCCCTCTCTCATTCCATTTATGGAAGCACAACCTCAAGTCTGAGATTGAGAGTGCTGAGGTCCGATGACCCCCATCATCTTGAGTCGCACGAGAGGTGGACGCTACAGGCTCAGTGTAATTGCACCTCATCTGGATAGACATGAGACTGGTCTCTGGCTCAGCAGTGTCACTATGAGGTTGTCTCAGATAAGAAGAAGACAAGTCATCCTCACCTATCTCCCAGATTGCACCCTCGATGATCAGGACTCAACTTACAGCTCACCATGAATCAGGAAAGATGCAAAATGGGGTAACAAAAAGCATGAAAGATACAGCACACAATGTCTGCACTAGCCAGAAAGGCTCAGTAGTGAGAGGTCACCCCAGGGAGAAACAACCGCAAATGATGCTGATGCATGGCTTCACAAATTCATACCCAGCAATGACGGAGTGCTGAATCTCAACCCAGAGAGGGTTGAGATGTCTGTCGCAGGAGAGCGCGGCACTTACATCGTGTGGTGTTTGCTGCAGTTGTGCCTTAAATACATCACTGAGATGGTATAATTAAGTATACGATAATAATCAATTGTGAGCCCTTATCTTCATCTCATGCGGAATGTGCATAATAATCAATTGATACAATTCAGGTGTCTAACAATCTCATATCAAAGTCTAAAAATATTTGCCAGTGAATATGTCTCATATGGACGACCATATTGTCGTCAATGTAGCGTACTACTGGATAGTATGTGTGTTTCTTCAGTACCTAATTATTCAATAAAATATATTGTGGCACTATGTGCTGCTATGCAGTGACCCTAACTGGGGGTGACAACCAAATCCAGAGTCCAACCTAATTCACCTGCAGGAGGTGGAGAGCCACATAATAATAATGCCATAGCATAATATGTACTTGTATGCCACCCAATAAATATGAAATTCAATTTAGTCGATGTAGTAATGACTCACTTCACACCTTTCGACCCCTAACTTTCTATTTCATTCAATAATACTCGGCACTGCAAAAATGAAACTAATTGTGTAAGGTGACAACGAGTGCCAGTCTCAAGTAACTGGCGATGCACAGATGATGGTTCAGCATTTAAATACAGCTGACAATGTCCAGTGCGAGAATGGCTGACTCTGGTACTGGTGAGTGCTTGAGCACTGGAGTGTAGTCCATATATGTCATTTAGAGAGTGGATCAGGGATGCATGTGGCAAAGTGGTGACAAAGATGAACCAGAAATCAATCAGCTCAAAATGGAAGAATTCGGGAGGACAAGGAAACGGCCAGGCAAATTCAATCAATTGCACTGGTGCAATGGTGCAATGGTAAAATCACGCCTTCGACATCGAGCATCGTGCTCCGTAACCCTGCACTTGTTCTCTCGTGCATATCTATTCAGAATTCCCGCATTGAAAATTATTACTACTTTAACATATACATTTATTGTTATCAATTGTTTCCCATGTACTACTGTGAACAGTTTTGCCTAACAAATGCGCGGCAATGAAACTCGATAGTGTATGCTGCACTTTGTCACCTTTTAATGAAAGTACTTCAGCAGGTAATAGCCATGTCAGCATTTAAAGTTGGCATACAGCTTTACAAATATCCCAAACAATATTGATGGCTATAAATGTATTTCCTTATATGGCAACCCTTACCCTCACCTTCAGCGATTGAATTCAAGAATTCTCTATAAATAGCCAATGTCAGCATTTAAAGTTGGCATACAGCTTTACAAATATTCCAAACAATATTGATGGCTATAAATGTATTTCCTTATATGGCAACCCTTACCCTCACCTTCAGCGATTGAATTCAAGAATTCTCTATAATTTTGACTTGGATGGTCCACTAAGCTGATCTGGGACTGTCCAGACCTATCCGAGTGAGTTATGGTCTATCCGTACCTATAACAATTATGACTTGGATAGTTCACCAAGCTAATTTGGGACTGTCCGAATCTATCTGAGTGAGTTATGGTCTGTCCGTACTCAATAATGATTTTAACTTAAATAGGTTTATAATCTGACCTAAAACTGTCCAGACCTATTCAAAGATAGATTGATGCACACAGTATCATAAGCAATATTGCAAAATAAGTCATGAAAGTTTACATTCAAGGTAAATGATATCATCCTGCATAGACTTTATCTATTTTCTCACTTCAAATTGCTAATGTGCACTTCAAATGAAGCACCGCAATCAACCGATAATACCGAGCTATCCAAAATGCTCATCAGTTCATTCCTATCAGTGCACTAGTATAATGATTATACATTCATATCAGACTAGATCAGAATGTATATAAAAACATTTATCAATTTTATGATTTTTGAAAGTTCTCAAATTAAGCCTCCCTGACACTCCGTGACAGTGATAAAATCCTGGTAAAACCATTTGGTAAGTGTTGTAATAGGTCAGTTGAAGTATCAGAAACACTCCTAAACATTCACCAAAACACTCCCAAACTATGCTCAAAAATATGTTAAAACACTCCCAGACTGTGTCCAAAAATATGTCAAAACACTCCCAGGCTGCACCCAAAAACTTGTCAAAACACTCCCACACTTTATCCAAATAATACCCTCTATTGTGTCCGAAAGCATCCTCAAATGTGACCAGAACTGGGTAATACCACTCAAAAGCCTATTAGGTTCAACTCTGAAGTGATTAAGTTCAGCCTAAGAGGTACCATAAGAGGAGAGCCTGAAGTGAAGCGGAACTGTCATCTCCTACAGTAGCATAATATTTTTAAATAAATAAGTAAATAATTAAACAACTAAAAAAGAATGAAACTAGCTCCCTGAAATGCTGATAAGGATTAATTGCTGGATGCTGTTGTAGTGGTTCCGTTGCTGCAAAATATCTCTTGATCAAGTTTAGCAGCTGAGACAGGTTAAACATAAGTAGCTATAGTGTGAGAAATAATGGTCAGGTGATCAGTTGACATTTAATGTCACAGTTTAGTCTCAGTTATGTCCTCCATCTTGCCTCCAGCTATAGCGAGTACTATAGCCTTCTTACTCATCTTGCAGAACTAAAATTCTTTGTGCACGGTCCTCGTATTACCCTATGCTAATTTTGTTTACTTTGTCCATTGCACTCCCATACTATTACGATTGGAAAGAAAAATGTCATCACATGTGAGCCTCTATGCAGTGATATCTATCTACCGATGGCTAACACACAGTTCTCAAAAATTGTCCATCAGAGATTCAGTATATCTGATGATAATGCTCGCACATTCAATACAGCCTATGCTGATGTTAAGGCTGCTAGGGAAGCTGGTGATCATATTCTTCAATGAGGTGTAGGTACAACTCTCTACTAGATTTATTTAGATGTGAAGCTCTCCTTAATTTAGATTTTTGTGAAACCTGCAGAACAGCCTGTGGCACAGCAACTTAAGCCTGTAAAAGCATGCTGCCAGCATGGCACTCAGACACATGCATGACCTTCTTGGATTTAGAACAGCAGACGAATTGGTGAAGAATGGGACCAGTATGATATTTACTACAAAATTGATTCAAATGGGCAGTGTCTTCATCATGAGCTTGTGAAGCAGAATCGTTTCAGATATTGGATGATAAGTAGTGCAGTAGATTGATTAGCAATAGCTCATTGAGCTGTCTTCTTCAGCTGGAGGATTCTCAGCATCTGGTTTATACAGCCACTGTGGAGGTTCCCATAAAAATGTGGCTTTCTGAGAATCAGTATCAGGCTGCAAAGGACAACCACAAACTTGTGTGGCAGGAAGAGCATATTCATGATAATGTGGACATGAGAGCTCTGTAATCAATGGACATTATATGACTCATGCCATCACTAAAACCTTGTGAAGGTAAATAAAGCCTCACCATATGCCTTCAGCATGGCATTGTGTGCCATGCCAAGCATTTTCAGGCTTCAAAGGCATGTGAACCTCTTCCAGCAATCATGATTTGACATTATATAGGAACAAGACAGTCTTCACAAAGAATTGAGCACTGTCAAGGCCAATTTTGAGGATATCACCTATATCACAACAAGCAAAGAAACCATCACGATGAGGTACTGCATGAGCAAGATGAGCTTCATGAGAAATGAGATAATCTTCACAAACAACTGAGCGCTGTCAAGGCCAATTTCAAAGAGGTCACTGAATGCCACAAGAAGCTAAGGAACCATCACAATGAGGATATCACGAAACACCACAACAAGCTAATGAACCATCATGATGAGGTCCTACACCAGCAAGACAAGCTTAATGAGAAATTTAATAGGACCAGTGATCAAGTCACATGGCTCAAGGTGCTCTGAGCTCAGTATGAAATGGAACAATAAATGAGAAAGGTGAGTAGGAATCTCTGCTACTTCCAGATATTCAACTGACCTTATTCAAATGATCTTGTTAAGCATCATCATCAATGTCAGGCAACCAAGGTGAGCATGGAGCTGGACACACTCAGAGAGGAGGTTTCCTAGTCTGAAAGCATTATGATGACTTTCATAACTTGAATTACAATTACAATGTTCATTGAAGCAGTAGAAGCCCAGGATGAAAAGCGCATGATTTGCTTCCTAACTTTCATCAAATTGCTCATTTTAACAGGAACCCAGGATGGAGAATTTCAGCCACCATCAGCACTCATGCCCATCACAGAAATCATCACATCCATTCTAGCAGCAGCTGATGGGCCAATTACATGCACATTCCAGTTGCCATCAGAACCCACACCTGCTGCAGAAATAAGCATACACTCTCTAGCAGTAGCTGATGGACCTATCACTCTATTTGTATCCACATTTCAGCTATCATCAGCACTAACATCCACTGCAGAAATGAGCACACCCTCTTCAGCAGCAGCTGATGGGGCTAATCACTCCAATTACATTCACACCCCAGTTACCGTCAGGACCCATGCCCAATGCAGAACCAGCACATTCATTCTAGCAGCAGCTGATGAGCCTATTGCTTCAATTACATGCACATCCCACTTGCCATTGGGACCCATGTCTGCTGCAGAAATGAGCACACCCTCTTTAGCAGTAGCTGATGGGCCTATCACTTCAATTATATTCACATCCCAGTTGTCATCAGGACTCACACCTGATGCAGAAACTGGCACATTCATTCTAGCAGCAGCTAATGGGCCTATCACTCCAATTACATTCACATTTCTAGCTGCTGTTGGCACCAACACCCACTGCAAAATGAGCATGTTCTTTCTAGTAATGACTGACAAGCCTGATTGCAACTGCAATATGTTGAGTTGTGCAAAATGTACTCAAGAAGAATATTTCTAAATCTTGTCATGCCATTGCGTGGATCGCTAAGCACTGAGGTCCCAAGTGCATCCTTAAAGGGATTGTCAAAAAAACAATTCTTCCTGTTAAGCAGGTTCATCTTGGAGTCTATGTGGCTCCAGAAATTCTTCAGATCTAACAAGCTGCAAATGGTGAGAATGCTCTCATGGCATTCTTTGATAATTTGTAAATACGGGCTTTGAACTGCTACAATGTGATGGACAGCATGAAATGGTTTACATCCCACATGAAGTGAGGTAGGCCAGGCTTATTGTACATGAGGGTGGACAGTAAAGCCATCCTTTATCATAGCAGAGTGAATGTTGTCTGTGGACCATCAGTTAGATATTGGTGCATATCAGAAATGTATGCTCTATACAAACAATAAGCTGAAGAATTGACAGATAAATGACATTGCTCACTTGACATCATTGTTATCATGGTGAACACTACGATAAAGAGTTTCTTGAGTGGCGGTCGCTCTGAAGCACCATTGCACCTTGGATATATTTAGAGTAATCCTCACAGTGGCATATGTACATGTTTCCATGGTTATCTCGAAGATGGTATGTGATCAAAAAGATAGAAAATAGGTTTTTCCACTCTGCTCTTAAAAACCCATCACTGCCACAAGTCAGGATGGAGAGAATCACCCAGTGAATCATTGGCATTTATTGGCTTTTGAAAAGTGACACCCTAATGACATAGACAAGGTCATCCAGTGATTGTCAGTGCATGGCATAGAACTTGAGTTGGAGGTCTGGCAAAGGCTGCTGATGATGTTGCAGAAGAAAAATCACAAAGCGAGTCATAAAATAGGAGTATCCTATGATAGTGTCATGCTCTTGGAGGTGGCTGAATGGATGAGGCTTCAATCCCTGACCAGGATTGCTGGTCGCTATGTGCCATAGGGTGAGGATCTGAAGATCTTGAAGATGATCTGCAATGTTGAGATAGTACTCCCTCATATGGTATTGCAATGCAGAATATCCATCTTCCAGAGAAGGATCAAAGACCTCCATGGTGGCATGAAACACCTTGAGGTCAACATCCTGAATACATTGCACATTTGGGTTACCTTGAGCACATGGTCTACACGTCACATATCTCAGACCTGATATGGTTTGATGGTGTCATTTAATCCTTTCCTCTCATTTCAGCTCAATAAACTCATCAGAAATGGGCATTAACTTGCACTCTGTGATGAAGCATGACATCAGGATGTACTTCATGACAATGGGCATCATGCAACTTTGTGCTTCCAAAAACACCACATCCCATACAGCCTGAAATCTTGCATCACCATGCATGGATAATCTCAACATCTTGTATAATTGGGATAGGTCCAGGAAATGGACTCTTTGAATGGTGCACGCCAAGTTGGGCCAGCATTTTCATCAATGATTCCTTGTCAGGAAGGTGACTGCTTTCAGGAATATAGCATGAGAGTTTATGTTTGCGAGTATGATGAGAGTGGATGTACTCCAAGGAAACAATGTTATGGCACTCCATACAGATCACAAGGTGATACTTGTGATTCACTTGGAAGATCACTTGAGAAGCTCTTGCCAGGTTGCTCTGGATACAACAGCATTGACAGCATTGGTGGGTAGGATAGGTATGTCAACCTGCATACAATCATGCATGGAAAGGTCTATAGCAGCTTGGTCATCAGAGAGAGTGGGTATATGCAGGTCAGACATTAGGTATGAGTTATGTTCATTGGGAACATTAGGAGTGTTGAAGACTTTGGCTGTGTCTGCATCATGATCACCAGATTCAATGGTCTGCTCCATTTTGGCATTCAAAGGAATATCCCATGGTAGTGACCCTTGGCCTGGCTGATCATCTAGCAACTGACTTGCATTCTGTTTCACATCAGAAGAATCTTTGTATGCTTCATCATCATGCCTGGTGACAGCTTCAGTGTGGTTTACCATATGAAGAATGGGATACATCTTAGTATAGAAATAGTGAGAATGGCTGAGTTCACTGCATGGACAAGGCATCTTTCCAGTATATATATCTCTTTCAATCTGAATTGCCTGGTCTACATTCTGGCTCAATATTGATTTCAAATCAAATGCAATAACACAGCGCACCATTCCACTGGAACATATACTTTTAATTGTGATAGTGACGATCATGTGTTTTCTGCAGCTCCAAAATATGAGGATGAGGACAACTGTGAATAGGACATCTATTGGCCAGTAAGCACCACAATAACAGTGATTGAAAGCATGGCTTATCATCGAGGTACCAAGAACATCTGGATGTCTTCGTTGATTTAGGCATTCTGAATCCTGACACAGAGAGCACAGCAGAATAGAAAGCATCTCAGCTCTTGATACAGAAATTGCTGCATAGACACTGCAAATAAGCTAAATACAGGCCTCCAATTGAAGTAAAACTTGATAGGTGGCTGCAGGCCAGGTGGACCGAGAGCATTTCTTAATGTATGTGCAACTTATCAGAGTATTACCTGATAAGATGCTTAGGATGATGTGTACAGTGACAGAGCAGTGAGTACAAAGCAAAGAGTGACAGAGGAGTGAGGACAAAGTGTAAAGCAACAGAGGGTGAGATATAAATGAGTGCGAGATGAAAGCTAAGAGGAAGAAAGAGGTTAGACGCCCAATGATCTTCGATCAAACTGTGTCCCAATCACATTTGAAAATGATCTTCCATGCATGCTGTGTTTTACATGTGACTATGGGTGAGTTAGCATGCACTGATCTTGCTGCTAACACTCATCATCCATCTTGGCAGAATCTGTATTCATTTGATAATACCGAATGGAGCATAGTTAGAAACACCTTTGCTCTTCACTGTGACCCTTGGATAATACCGAACAGAGTGGATATGAATAAGGGTTTTGCATTGATTGTCTACACCATCTATCTCTGTCCATAGTCAAAATCTGAGAATCTGAAGCAGATAATTCTGATTGATTACACCATTTAATTGACAATCCTTGGCTTTTGCCCAAAAATCATCATAAGTCAATGGTTTCAACTACAAGAAGCTGAGAGTGTGATAGACAAGGGTGTCAGACCCAATATCTCCCTAGGTATGTGATTTACTGTCACCCTGCCTGTAACCCCACCATTGAAGTGTGGATCTGAGATTTGAAACCCAGATAATGGTGAAGCAGGCTGGTTTTCTGCCCTCCAATAATTTACTGATGTGTCATTATTCTAGCAGGGGGGCATGGAGTGTTCCTCCTACAGAAAGACCTGGTCCGGAGCAGAATTTCACTTATGGTCATGTGAGTTAGGTGATCCCATCTATGTAACATGAGAATTCGATCTCAATGTTGCAGTTATGGAAGCAATGGAAGAAGAATCTCAGTGCAAAACTGCAATAGACCAAGATTCCAATGAGGCACTGGTGTGTGATGATGAATGACCTATAGATTTCGTTGACCACCTCACTGAGGCAGCCTCCAAAAAGCACGTTAGAGAGAGCACAAAGGAGGATTACCACCAGAGGCAGCATGGAAAATGGAGGAGAAGAGAGATGAGAGAAGCACAGAGGAAAAAGACAGATGGTGCCAAGCACATCTCACAGAAAATCTGAGAGTGCAGCTTGACTGTGCTTTGTGACTGTTCAATCAAAGAGGACATAACTGATACCTTAACTGCAGATGCAAACATGCCACAACCTGGCCCACAGAGGCTGCCTACTGGCTTTGCTCTGAATATGAAAAAAGACTCGGTAGCTTTCACAGCATTTGTCAGCAAACCCATTCCTCAGAAACAATCAGACGGAAAAGGTCTTACACTGCAAAAGGTTCTCGCACAAGAAGGCATGCAGCTGATTGAATGAGACAGAATGTGAGTACTTTACAAATGTACACTGGACAATATTCTTCTGCTCATGCATGTTGGAAGAGTCCCAGACCTCTGGTGGATTGTGATGGATGTGTATTCAGATCACTCGCTGGATGTTCTCACAACCCATGGTGGGGTGACATCACAAAGCAGGCCAGTGACCTCATCTTACAGTGCAAAGAACTTTGTGTCTTCAGCCCAAAACAAGCAACCCATAGCCAGAGCAACTATCCAGCATCATTAAAAGGAATTTCATATAGCAGATATCAGAAGGTGAGCCTCTCACTGTCACATCTACTCCAAACTGACAGAGCATCGTCATGTCAAAAATTTGAAAAACAGCACCAATAACACAACAATTCTCAACATGCTGAATCAAATGTGGCCATCTGTCACCTCACCAAGTTTGAAAATGCTGCACTACAGCTCTTTGCCCTGGGATTGTATACTTTCTACACTGAGAACATTGCTAAGCTGAAGGAGGACAACCAGATCCTCCACTCAAATTTTAATAGCTCAGTTTTTGGTGCTGTGAGCTACAACTTTGGCCCCAATGTGGTCATCACAATGCACACTGACCACACAAATCTTGCATGGGGCTGGTGTTCAATCACAGCCCTGGAGAATTTTGATCACAAGCAAGGAGAACATGTGATATTGTGGGACCTTCACCTTGTCATTGAGTTTTCTGCAGGCACTACCATCCTCATCCCTTCTGCCATCTTGCTTCATTCAAATGTTAACATAAATGCAAATAAGACATGCTGTTCATTCACTCAGTACTCCACTGATGGTCTGTTCAGATGGGTAAATTATAGATGTTGGATACAAAAAGAATTCGAAGCACAAGAGGGAGACATAAAACAGCTTGGGCCTGAACGTTGAAAACATGGGCTGAGCATGCTCTCACAGTGGAAGAACTTTAATTTACAAGATTGTTGTCTGCCAGCATTATATGTCAAAATGAGCTAAATTGCATATCACAGTTTACAAAGGGCACATGCCAGACTATTCAGATTATCTCAGTCATCGTTCACTTATTAAAGACAAGATGAATCTGATGACCATGATTCAACAGGCACTAAGGCCTCCATCAATGACAGCGCTACAGCTGATGCTGGCTCAGAGGCCTGTAGCACCATTGAGCACACCCAGAGTACATTTTCTACCAAGCTAAGAATGCCCGAATCTGATGCATCACTGACAGTGTTGCAGCACTTGATGAAAATCATGTTGCATTGCTCACTAGAGCCAGAAGTAAGTGAAGGTGCAGTGGTGGTGCAATGAGCAAGGTGGTCAGGAAGGGAAAAGTAGAGAGTGTCTCTCAAGTTGAGCTGAACAGGATGGGTAAGGACCAGATAGTGGGCCATACAGGAATCAGGATGTTGATCGTGAAGGCAGTCTCAGTGAAAAAGAAAGGAGTGATGCCCCAGGTAGAGGTCATGAACTCAGCCCAGCCTAAGTGGATGAGAATGACTCAGTACCAGGCTCCAGATTAGCATGACAGATGAGTGCCACTCACTAGCAGATGTGGTCTCAGTGATGGTTGGGCAGACATTGATGATCATGGTTATGGTAAGCAGATCAAAAGTGAAAGTGGCACACACAGCAATGAGCATGGTCACAGAGGCTCAGCGTGGAATGCATCATATCACAGAAAGGAGTGGCATTAACAAGTGAGTAATGTCAATGATTACTGGACAGGAGGCAACCTGTTGAAGGCTGAGGAGGATCAATGGTGCTATGAGATGGCAATGGCACTGCATTGCGACAGAGTCATGAAGACCAGGAGATCTGCCTCCTTCAAGGCATGTATGCAAATTGCACAAATATATATAGCCCAATGTTCAAGTCACGATTCCATTTCGTTGAGATCAAAGAGTTTTGTAACATTGTCACAGCGATGCTGGACAAGAGATCAAAAAGACTAAAAAAGGAACGGTCATGTGGAATGTGTCGCCCTGATCCCCCTGATCCCTTAAGTGGCTGGAGAGCCTAACACTTACTAGCTGGGTAGCAAGCATATGGAAGGGTGAAAGATATATGATGGAGCTGGTAAGCTCAGTGGTCACTACAGGGGTAGACAAGGAGAAACAATCTGAAGTTTCATCCTCTACATGCTGGTCTTATATATGTGTACAGGTGCTGACTACTACGAGGTATGCCATTGGCTATCTACTGTCTATTCAACTAAACTATACATGGAACAATAAGTGGGAAGATCCATCCATAAGTAGAACAATAGGTGAGAAGATCAGTCTTCATCAGTAACAATGGTGAGACTATCCATCCTATCGTGGTAATGGCTATTCCTTGAGCTGATTGCCTAGACAATCCCAAACAATAGTTCTTGTTCCCTTTGTTCCCAAATGGGTGCCTCTATTGTATCCTGAAATAGACAGGTCCGACCGTATCATCTGCGAGTCTGAGCCATAACATGTGATGTTGACTATCACCTGACCTCTACACATCATGTCTGTGGCTGAGTGGCGTGAGGTATTGGTGAAGCACGTGATCTGTGGTGTGGGTAAAGTCACATGCAGACTTTTGTGGCAAAAATCTGTGACAAACATACATGCACATCAAATTGAGAGATCATATCAAGTCAGAATTACATGAGTCATCACTGTCAACCAGTGGAGTTGGCTGTAAAGCTATGTGATCAAGTGGGAAAGATGGAATACCCTCTTTCACAGACACACCCAGTGAGGGCATCACAAACTGCAATGAAAATCTGGAGATCGAGGACAATGATAAAAGTTGTTCTAGTGCAGGGTCCAACTGAAGTGTCATAGGTGATGTGTTACGAAGCAGCCCGTCGCTCATGGTCACGTGATCCCCATGAACAAGCACCCAGAAAAGACGCCCAATCACAGTCAGGTGATATCAGTTACTATGTGATCGAGGACAGCTTCTAGTCACTATGTGACCGAGGACAGCTTCTAGAGTTCTCAAACTCTAACCCCAGGATCTGCGATCCGGGACTTTGGTTCTCATTCCATATTTCAGGTATTTCACCTACGCTTTTCCTAGCTCGCCAATTACCTGGCTCGCAGCAGCTAAGCTCTGGTGTGTTTCACCTATCTTTATCACTGAGGCAGTGTAGAGGACCCCTTGTACTAGTACCCCAGACTATAGGTCTGCGACTATATAAAGGGGCGGAGCAGCAGTGGGAAGACTAACCTCTTCCACCTGTGACTCTGAATGTTCTCAGTTCTAGAACCCTCGTGCAATCGTACTCGCTCTCAAGAGGTAGTAAGCTCATACGCTTGCTAGAGTCAGAACAGCGAACCTAGTAGCCTGCGGGTGAACGTGCAGTAGCTGTAGCGGCCAAGGCCTAGCAAGGGTAGAGTGAGGACCTCACTGCTACATCGTCTACTAGGCTTGACCACACTATAAACCCTGTTAATAGTCTGCCTGACTATTGGAGACGTTAGGTATATTTGGTATCTAAGTCTCCGTCCACATTGTGGACTAGTACGTGTGAGAAAGCACACGTGGTTCTGAACGTTCTAGCAGGGAACACTTCATAACATTTGGAAGAGGTTTTTCTATAGGTCAACCTGTTTAGGTTTAGAACCACTTACAAGAAGTGGGATCTACTTGGACGCTACAGGAGAATCAAGAACTGTGTGGTTACTTCCAGGAACTGTGTGGTTCAATTAAATCTGTGTGTTTATCGAACTCAAGCACTAGCGGTTACCCGTGTGGTAATCCAGAAGAGAAGCCCTCAACTGAGGCACACGTAGAAGACGTGCTAAAGCCCTTTCCAGGAAAGGCAATTCAGAATTAAGAAGATTCAAGGAACTAGCGGTAGTCTGTGAGACTATCCAGAAGAATACTGTGTGAAGACGCGGACCTGTGCGTTCGACAAACAATTGGTTAAGGGCCACCAAGAAAAGGCAAGATGTCGTATCGCGAAAGCAAAGGATACGAATCGGACTCCGGAGATGAGCCGGTAGGATACCAAGGAGACAAAGGATACATGACGCCGTTGTCATGGAACGATGCAACCAATGAAGAATTGGATTGGTTCGCCGACGTCAGGAATACACGAGCCATTGCATTGCGAAGACGACAGCGGTTGGGGAACCTTACAACCCCAGAAGAACAGCAAGAGCTGCGAGAGCTCGAACATGACATTGAAGAAATTCAACGGGTCATCAATAATCGAAAGGACATTGCAAAGGATTTCGAGGACGAATTCCTAACGCATATGGACCTTCCTCGCGGAGAAGTAATACAAGTCGATCTGAGGCCAGAGGACGCTGAAGGATCGAACAAGGATAAAGGACGAGAGGAATGGAATCCTCTCGGCAGCAATCCAAGTTTACCAAGAAGTGGCAACTCTAGTGTTACGCCAACATCCAAGAAACCTTACGATGGGTTAGGATTATGGAAAGGAGTCAGGACGACACCTTTAACCAGGACGTCCTCGGAAGGAGGAAGGCCAGTAACACTCATTGGAGTACCAATAAGGCCACAGTCAGCCATGGCGCAAACAGGTAGTTTGGGAACTACTAGCCAAAATCCCACCAAGACACGGTATGATCCAGCCAATGGACCACCAGTGCATCCAGGACTGACGTGTCTGGAATTCCAGTGGCAGGAATATCTCCTGGAAATGAATCTCTACGCGCTGTATAATTCTGCACAACCAGAATTGGAAAAGGAAGAGTTACAGCTAGGAGAGATCCGGCCGTTCGCAGGAGATAAGCGAACGGTTACGTCATTCCTCCAGGCTGGAGAACGACATCTCCAGGCAAACATCCACATATACAACGACGACTATAGTCAGATAACGTTCATCCTATCCCACTTCGAACCAGGGTCGGCAGCAGCAAAATGGATCGAATCATGGGAAGCAGCGATGATCGCATCTACAGGAAGATCAGATGATCTAGGACTTTACCGCGACTTTCGGATGACACTCCAAGAAAAGTATGGAGGAGTCGCAACCAAGGACCAAGCATGGCAAACGTTACTCGACAATCAGTGTAGGCAGAAGAAAGGAAAAGTCGACGATTACATCGGGAATCTCGACATCCTATTTCACTATGCTGAAATCGATGACGACTATACCAAGCTCGTTCATCTCAAGCGAGGCTTGGAATCAAAGTTGGCAGAAAAAGTCTTCCTTACTCCGAATCCTCCAACCACGTATGAGGATGCTTGCGACAGTGCAAGACAAGTCAACGACCTTCGAAACGTCCATAAGGGAAAAAGCAATATCTTCGATTTCATCACGCATATGGATCAGGGCGATTCAATGAATGAAGGAGACTCGATGGATATAGATGATCCCAATGCAATGGACGTCGACAGGACACGACGAATAGGACAAGTGCGGAGCCGTCCGGTCAAGAAACGTCTATGCTATCGATGCAGAAAGCCGGGACACGAGATGGATCAATGTCCTGCAAAGAAGCCGAACATCGATCGAACCCTGCCTGTACAAGTCGTATCAAAGAAGAAGCAGAAGGAGACTTCTTCAATTAAGAAGAAAGATGCACACGCGTCTACCGGATCAAAAGAACCCTCAAAAGATCCGTCGATCACAAAGAAGATGCAAAAGCAGATTGAGCAACTGGTAACGAAGTTGGTCAATGCAAAGCTTGTTAAGCTTCTTCTCGGAGGTAACAATCAAGACCACCATGTCGATCAGAAGAAGAAGGAAGCCGAAGAAGACGATGATGAACCTATGGATATCGATCGAATGTCTGAACATATTCTTGGCATGAACACCATTCAAATTGGCGCCATCCATACTCATTCATCGCATACCGACCAGACCGCCTTCCCTACGTCAATATGGAAGGAAGTCCTTATGTCATCGCTCGATCTCAGTCAAAAAGAATGGTGTGGTATCAAGGCCATTGTTCAAA